AATTAAAAGAAAAGATGAAAGTTGTTATTTATTTTTTATTAGCAAAAGCTCTAAATATATATATATTTTTGCCACAAATTCTGAGGACATTAATGTAGTGAGTTTTCATCATTATGATGGTGTAAAAAGAGAATCACATGATATTGCATCAACACACTACTATCACCCCTTTCTCCTTTTCCCTTTCCCTCTCCCTCTCTGTTTCCTTTTCCCTTTCCCTCTCCGTTTCCTTTTCCGGCTCTCCTTGGTCTTCTGCCCATTCTGTTTCTCCTGTCATCTGTGAATATTTAGCCTTCACTCTCCTTTTGCTTTTTTCAAGCTGCCTCAAGGGTGCCTTGCTGGTCTTGTCCGATATACTGAACAACCTTAGTTTGGTCAGATTGTGTATGAAGCTGCATCCGCAAGATTAGGCATCCCTGATGGTGGGCAGGAGAAGTAGAGCTCATCATCAGGCATTCTTGACAGGCCGACTGCTGTAAAATTTATGCTTTTACCAGCATGAAACCACCAGACAGTGGTGGTGCTACACTCAACCACCTGTTGTAGTACTAGCCACTTCAAGTCATGTCTGGCCACTCGTTAGTTTGCCTCTCTCGACAACAGGCATGGGCATACCGACAAATTACCCAGTTGATTAGCACTGCTTACCTGGCATACCTAATCATGGAGATGCAACTTAAGTAATCCTATATAGAGTTCTGAATGTCAGTCCTTGCAATATGAGCCTTTTGATTATAAAGGACCTTTATTATAATATTTAAGCAAAATATAAGTGGCCTACTTGGTCATGTGCCAAGGTTACAATTATAATTTATAGATATATCTAACTTTATTATTATTATTATTATTATTATATAATTTTTTTGGCAATCTATTTTGATGTGTTTCTTATTTAATTTAAAAGTAGTGTAGCCATTGATACAATACACATGAAATGATAACTAATGTGGTATGAATTTCATGATGGTGCAAAATATACCCTTGCCAGTATTATCTTCATATCCTATTTGGAAAAGGACTGGTATTAGTACAAATAAGTGGCTCCTAACAATACTTGCTGGAAGTGTGACAAATAGACCTATGAAATGCAAGCTACTCACTGTGTATAATTTTTGGAAATGTTGAAAAAATAAGGGAAACGTTAGGGAATTCCAGCTCTAAACATATAAAAGAATCTTTCTTAAGACAATGAATCATGTAAGTTGGGGTTGATAGCATGCTTGTGGAGTAAGTGTTTTTTTCAGCAATGTTAATAGTAAATTGATCTTAAGATTTAGATGTGCAGGGGAGTAACTTCCTTAATACACATGTGGATGTATGTGTTTGTCATGTTTTGATTTTTTTGTTGGAAACTGTATTCTGACTTTTTATTTGATTATTTATTATTTTTTTATTATTATTATTTTATTACTTAAGTGGTTTCATTTTATTGTCAATCAAACCCTGAATTTCTGTTATTGTTCATATGTATTTTCAAATGGCTATGTTGCATGATTGGAATTAGAATTTCCAGAAATTAGAATATGAGATTTTCATGGTAATCAAAAACTAGCCAAATAAAATTCAGAGAAAGGTCATGTTCTGTGTTCCATGTCCTGTAGAAGTGAAATGCTGAAAACATTTTGGATTTTGGCTGTTACATAAGCCCAGGAGTTTGTACAGACCAGCAGTGCCTTGGAAGTTAGTCACAAACCATGGAGCTGATTTCATTTATCTTTTTTTCCACTCTCTTTCCTGGAATTGCAAATGGTTCTTCTGCTCAGACATTAACTCTTGAATCCAGTGGAAGAAAAGAGAAGCATGTTATCTGTATATTTCATTTTGTAATTCTAGCACGCAGTAAAATAAATGGATTTCATTCCTAAGATTGTAAATGGCAACCTTATCTAAATGTAAAGAAAACTTAAGTTAAATTGTGTGCGTGGGTGCCTGCATGAGTGTGACTGCACATGTCTATGGACATGCCTGTGCACATTTCTAGGAGTCAGAGGAGCACCCTGTGAGTGAAAATGAGTCAGAAGAGCATAGTGAAAGGTCTTATGCTTCTTTCATGTGTTTTGTATGAATTATTTGTTTATATCTTTTTTGTTAAAGTAGTGATTTTTGTATGACATTGGAGAAGTTTTTGACATCAAACATTATGGAAACAAATTATAAGGATTGCATCTTTTTATCTCCCTTTCTTTCTCTCTCTCAAGCATACAAATACATGCATACATGCATGCATACATACATACATACATACATAAGTATATATATATGTGCATAAATACATACATACATACGTATATATATATGTGCATAAATACATACATACATACGTATATATATATGTGCATAAATACATACATACATACACCTACATATCTCTCTCTCACACACACACACACACACACACACACACACACACACACACACACACACACACACACACACACACACACACACACACACACACACACACACACACACACACACATAGATGAGGGCAGATTGAAGGGTATCTGACCCTATGGCTATGAAATGATAACCCTCCTTGTTTGATTAGAAAAACTGTAATACTCTCCCAAGAGGACTCCGTAATTAGCTACACCTTGTATCCACTTCCCACTAGTGGAAGCATTTCTGGAAGTCCACTTTTGAGATTATCATTAGTTAATTTATTACATTTCCATTTATTTACAAACATTCTCCTATCTGAAAGATAGTCAACATCTTTGAGACATGTGGTATAAAAGACTACAATAGTGGACAGCATCTAAATATCCAGGTACACACCACAGGGCAACAGATGACCACAAGGCTCTGGGAAATATTTGCCAGTGAGAGGAAAGTTAGGTTAATTGTGTAGAGATCCTCTATGCAGCTCCTTGTATTTTGTGGTATCACAGGTGTCCTTGTGTCTGGGTTGGAAATAAGTGAAGAGAAAGTGTATGTGGGGACTCGAGCACCATCTGACATCAGTGAACTCTTGCCAATCATCCTGAGAACTGAGTATCCATAATGTTGATATCTAAATTGCAGTTTTAGACCTCTCCTCTCTCTCTCTCTCATACACATAAACAAATAAACATGTATTTGTATGTATGTACACACACATACATATATATATTACTTGTGTATCCATAGGTGTATATTTCTCTCTCTCTCTCTCTCACTCTATGATTATGAAGGGCAAGTCCACTATATGGCTTTTAGGTAAAATATAAAACTCAACTGAATACCAATTCACTCACACAGATATATATACATATATTGCTATTTTAGTATGTATGAGTTCTATAAAAACAATTTATCAAGTATTGTTCAAGTTAGTATTGATGGCTATTCATTTCTCTGTATAAAAGGGACAATTTGTCCAAGTTACTGCCATTGTTCATGTATTAACTTCAGTTTAATCCCTTTTGTGGAGTTGATGGATAGTATTTACACAAAAAGCTATAAATTTGTTTTGAAACAGATTTTGTACAACAATAGGTCACTTTCAACATTTCTCTAGTGAAATGTTGCTTTCTCAATGGTCACATAGATAGTTCTGATAAACCTCTTGGGATCGTATAATATTATGTGTTCCTTGCCAAATATAGTATGTTCATTGAAAATTGTGTATTGTAAAGTTATGTGTTTCTGCTATAGAAAATCTAGTAATAATGGAGCATTGCCCATATAAGAAGCCATGCAATGTAGTATGTGCTATGTACAGCTGGCAAAACAGGAAATAAGTGAGTGTTCTTTACAGGGTTTGTATGCATTTTGAAATTACTCCTTTTCTGATGCTTCAGTTGGGTTGGTATTCCTGATATGAGATCTCATGGCTTTATGTTATTTACAAATATGTAGGAAAGTAATATGGTTAACAATAAAAACTTGGACTTCTAAATATATTTTTTTTTCCGTCAATAAAAATCAGACTGGAGAAAAACTTCATTCATTATACTGTGACTCCAACTTCGGTTTGTGTTTTAGAGTTGAATTTTGTGTACTGCTAATGAAATGTTTCCTTGCATGAGTTCCTAGTGCTTATGTGTATCATTTCTTTTCTTTATTCTGTGAAGATTCCCAAAGTTTCATTAAAAGAATGAAAAAGGAAATAGAGAAATGATAAGAAGTAATAAAGAACTGATATCTACGTCCTTACATTCATACACACATTTCATCATAATCATTATACCTTTTTTGGCAAAGAATACATTTCATATATTCAATAATATATTTGTACATAAAAAAAAAGATTTACACCTTTTATAATTTCTATAGATATTCTCTAAGAATGCAATTGAAACAAGTTTAAATTACAGGTAAATAACTTAGTACCTTGCCTAACCATACTATTAGAATTTGACATTGTACAAATATATATGAATCAAAGACTGTACATTTTTCTTATAAATTATGAAACTACCATATTTGTTCTTAACAACAATGTCACTGAAAAAAATTCTAGATGTTAAAAAAATGATTACAAATCATTCATATTCCATGCAAGATATACAAGCACAGACGCTTTGGTATATATTTCACAAGACATAAAACATTATCAATGGTTAATGCTAAAAGTACTACCAAGAACAATAAGTTATCATCCTGCAGCAAAGTATAAATGTGTTAATATCCAGTGAGCAAGATGTATGGAAGAAATAGTGAAGGCGGAGGCCCTTTGTACTAAGCGGCCCCTCCTGAAGGCACGGAACAGCACGCGGAAAGTCCTCATGTCTAAACTTACATTCGGGGAGAAATCGTGAGTCTAATGAATCCTTTCTGATTTCTGAAGTAACTGAGCCTCAGTTCTGTGTACAGTAATATATAGGATATAAGAGTATTACTTAATATCTTGGCAATTTTTGTTTAAGTTCACCCTCTTATTTACTGTTGTCAGGACAGAGCCTTGAATTTCTCCGTAATAAATTTTTTAAAAGACATTATTTGGATTTTACAAATAAAGTAGGAAATACCTTCTCTTCACAATTCTTTTCATCAATTTTTTTTTTTTTTTATACATCTTTTAAATGATAATAAACAACATTTCTCTCTAAATCTATGGAATGCCACAAGATACAGTACCTCTGGCATAATCAAGGGAACGTGAGGCAAAAATATATACACTTATATAGGAGCTGACATTTATATGTAGGCAATGTAAACTCTTACTTGCACATATAGAAAAGTAATTACTTTTAACATTCACAAAATACTTTCAAAAATCACAAATCCCCCATTCAACAAAATTTTGATTTTTTTTTTTTCATCTGGCATTTTTAAGTTAAGAAAATGTCTAATAATTTTCTGATAGCATACAGTGCCCAATCAAATGGTACTGCTCTTCTCTGCGTCTACTGAGGCTAAAAAGAAATGTAGGTCTACATAAAACAAATATTCTTAAAACTTAATGCTTTACTCTACACCAAGTTCGCTTCTGTGTGTGTGTGTGTGTGTGTGTGGGCGGATAGGTGGGTGTGAGTTGGGGGGGTGCTTGTGAATGTGTAAAAATATCCCTTTTGTTAGCTCTGCTTATGATGAAAGAATGGTAACAAACAATTAGTAGTAAAAATATTTAGTAAGCTTCTTTATCTTGCTTATAAATACTTAAGACACAATAGTAACAACAAAAATACATAAACAGTATTCTTTTTTACATAATCCAGTACATTAAATCAAATGTTGCTTGCAGTCAGCTGGGACAGACAAGTAAATCTATTAGAAAATTCAGTAACTTTTACAGTTCTACAATGTCTTTTTCTATACCTGTTTCCACAATCACATGTGCTTTTATGCTTCTAGTCACATAGGCATACTTCCTGGCTTGAAGCTAAGTACCATACTAAATGGTATTTAACTGCACTGCTGCAATTAATAAAAAATGGAAATGCCATTTGTCCCTGGATGGAGGATAATATCTAAGTAGTATAATTTGTCATTAGCCATTAGCAAGAAAGATTTTGTTTTTGCAGGAATATATCATACAATTAAATCAAATTGTGATCCACGTTAGTAATCTGGCAACTGTCTGAATTACAGTAAAACCTGAGAAAACTGGACCCTGAGAAAACCGGATCACTGTCCATTCCAGACGATATTCTCAGTCCCTTCCCATTTCAATAGGCGGCCTGTGTTAAAAGCCCACCCTCTCCAAACCGGATAACTGTCCAAACCGGACATTTTTTACAGTCCCATGGGTGTTCGGTTTTCTCAGGTTTTACTGTACATACAAAACTATCAAAGTTTTTGCATTTAGTTCCTGGAGGAGGAGGAGGAGGAGGAGGAGGAGGAGGAGGAGGAGGAAGAGGAGGAAGAGGAGGGAGGACAAAGAGGAGGAAGAAGAAGAAGAAGTCAATTCAGAAGTATAAATTACCTACTCCACTTTCAGATCCTTATTTAATCTAATATCATTATGACAGTTTTCCAAGGAAGTTGATGTGATGAAAGTATTGTAAAACTTTTCACTACAGGACGGCATATCTACAAGTGTGTGCTTTAATAGCATTTTACCCAAAATAAGTTTCAATAAATAAATGGTCAAAGATTAAACTGCATCAATGTTTGCAAATCATACTCATGCTAATACCAAATCATTCTTGAACTGAAGAATAAAGGTTGTTTTTACCTCAATTAAAATGGGGGAAAGAGAGCACCATAATTGGTGATAGAATTTGATTGTTTTAAAACTACATAGAAAAAAAAAAAAAAAAAAAAAAAAAAATCTTGTGAATATTCTCATACCTAATGTCAGGGTGGTTACCTTAGTGGATTTAAACAAAATTGTTAATCACAAATAAAAAATTAACAAAAACAATTAACAAAATGTATCAAGCATGTCTTACTTCAAAGACCACTGGAAGAACAAATTTTTTTGCAGTGAAAATCTTAATGTTTAGAATATCTAAACAGATATACGTTTTTCTAAGAGACCTCCTGACCCCATGGGAGGCGCCAGATTCACTTAGACATCGACACAGGAAGCAAAACACTTCTTGGCAGCGTCGCGAGCATATGGGATGTACGAGAGGGAATACCAGGTCATTGCTAAGAACTGTATAATCACCATCAACAGTGCCAGAGCTTTCTTGTGGACCTGTGGAGAGGAAAATCAAATTAAAATCTAAATCTTTCCCTTTCATAATTTTGAGTTTTTAGTTTCCAAGCTTAAAATGAGTCTATGGGACTAAGACTCATGAAGTTTTCTTTTAACCCCTTGGTGCCGGGTGACGCCGTTCGGCGTGTAAACAAAGCGCTCGAAAGCTGGCGTGCAGCCAAATGAGCCAGTGATTCGGGCTGATGTCCCCTACTCACGCCGCCTTTGTTTGCTTAAGCGTAGAGTTTTTGTTTTGTTTTGTACACCCGGCGCCATTGGGTTAAAACAAAAAATCATTTTATGAATCATAAAAACTGTCAAAATTATCATAGAAGTAAAATTTTGTAATATATGATTCCTATTTCCTATATAAATATGAATGGATATGATAAAATGCTTTTACATTGCATTTAACATAGTGAACAATGCAG